TTTACATAATAACGTGAAGACAAGTTTTAAAACAAGTGACAGGTATTGGTGACTTGTTTATTCCTTAAATCTTGTTTTTCAATTATCATTACTAGTTTTACTGTTCTTTTTGTTGATAAGCACAAAGCTATACAATGGGCTGTCTGTGCTGTGCCAACCATGGATGAGTAGGGCTTTATGTGAATGATATTATATAACAGTAAGACTTCATTATTTACTGATCCATTACAATATAAGAATATGTAGAAGCATTCCAATTACATCTTTCCATTTAATGCTTTATCTTTAGATATTACAAAATTTTTAATATTTTTGAATTACTTCAATAATGCAAAACTAGAAATTACAAAAATAATCCAGTTAAGAAATTTATCCAATATTCTCACATAATGAAAAGTTATGAAAAAAAATTGTATTAGTGCGTATATATATCTGTAAGAAAATGTTAGTTTCAACCACTAAAATATGCATTTTATATTTCTACCTGCTGAATGAGTGAGCTTCCACAAACACAATGCACATACAATAAAACATTTCATGAAGTCAGTTGTATTATGCAAGTTATTATTCAGCATTAACTGGTCAGATACTTGTCAACACTCTTGATAAGTCTTCAATAAATTACTGCAGAAAAGTTCAAGTAACTAATTTAAAATTAACAAATAATAAATAGTTATGAAGAAATCTGGTGGTGAAGCTATATAATATAATTCTGAAGGTACATCAAATATTTATTTCATCATAAACAACCTTTGTTCAACCACAGAAAAGAAAAATTACTTTTACCACACATCGTATGAGCCAGAAAGGGGGGAAGAGGGGTATTTGTTGTTGCTCAAGAAATTCTAACCCATTGCAACTTTTTTTTTTGTTTTTGCTATAAATGTGTGACAATTGTCAATGGCTGAAATGTAGCCATTTGACACTATTTTTACTGAATCGATTATTCTGTTGACAGCCAGGTCAAGAAAAATGTAGTAGGAAACAGTAAGGTACTCTCATGGAGCATTTAATGTGCAAATGCAAATGTCCATGTTGTGGAATATGCTTCATATGCAGCCATTGTGGTTGTTCATGTGATGGATGCAGTAAGAGTATCTCAAAAGTGTGTTGGGAAGTGGCCAATGAATGAATCCTCTGGTAACTCAGAAATGGACACGAAAGGTAAATCGAATTCCAGCTACTTTGTGGATGAATTTACGTTTGGTTGGGCATTATGTCCACCACACGGTAAAATTTATAGCCAAAAGTATACAGATCAATTCAAGGACGATGTTTTTGAAATGTTCAAGAAAAGTCTCAATAATAATTGGAATAAAATGGGCTATAGAAGAATGCTTGAAGAACTGTATTTGATATACCATCTGACACTAGAGATTTGTCAATGTGTCACAGCCCTGACAATGAAGTACAAAAAATATGGCACCCTCGACATTTATTCTTCCTGGGGAATACAACAACCTTACAGAGACACATTGATGTCCTTTGTGTCTGAATTAAACTACACTATTATCCTAAAAATGCAGTCTACGAGCTCAAGATGCAGCATAAAGACGATGTTCCCAAGAGATGATCAACTGAAGCCATTAGGTTCTCAAATGTAAGATATAGTAGATTTAACACAAGTGTTAATTATCAATGATGTGAAAACTGAAACCTAGCCAATTTGACAAGCAGTATGTTTGTTCAGTGACACGCATGTCCAGCAAACAGTCATAAGTTCAAATTCTATCTGGTTTCAGTTTTGCTTTTTCAAAGAAACAAGTTTTATTTAGTTTTTAAATTAATTTACACTTGCTAATGTGGTGACACATTTTGTAGGTATATCTATGTCTTCTGTAAAAGTAATATACTTTCACAAATACTATATCATACATAACAAAAACAGAATTTAGATAGATATGTTTAACATTTAATCAACAATATTTATCATTTTTTAATTTTTTTATATTTAAAATCCTGCATACACTTCAGACTTGATTGATTAACAGTTTTTTCTTTACTGATGGCTCTTAGAAACTGTTTTTCCTACTGTAAATGAACATATATTATTCCAACTGCTACAGATCAGGAAATGTGAATGTACAGAAGAGAAGTATTGAGAACTCCCCACCTTCACTCAAGATTGATTCACACATTTTCATTACCTCCAAAATTCCACAACCTTGCAAATGTTTAGTGTCCAGTCTTCTTTAACAAGCCACTGACCATTTTTAGTTTTTCAGAAAGAAAGTATGTTGGAACTATACATGTACACTTACAACTAAATATGTGACTGGAGCGAATAATCACACCTGAAAAATACTTCTATGTTTAATGCAACTTCAAACTGGAGCATAAGCACTTATTAGCTATAACTTAGATAATGTAGTAATTTCATAAAAACTGAAAAGTACCACAATTCACCACAAACAGGTGTATTAAAGCAATTTTAGTGGTTTCATACATGTGTAGTACTATACCAGGCAAATTTTAATATGTGTGTGTGTGTGTGTGTGTGTGTGTGTGTGTATGTACATAAACATTCTCCAAACATTAATTTCATAAAATAGAGGTTTTACCAATTTCTTTGTTATTTGTCATCTTCAGAGCAGTAACTTCACATAAAAAATCATGTACAGAATGCTGTAGAAAAGTTAACAGTTTCTAACACTGAAAATGTATTTCTCTTACACACAGCTATCTCGATCTTTTTTTCTGCCCTCTGAGCATTACTAAAAAAATTTGTTTCATGTTCAGCTCACCAGTCTAGATACATCTATAGTTGGGTGACTTTTGAACATGTACAAAGCATATGACTACTCTCCACCAATAGTATTGGACCACCTATGCTGGTGCAATTAGCCCCCTCTGCCATTCCCATTCAATCCTCATTTTCAATAATTGGCAGAATCTAAGAGAATAACACCGGCAGTGGGAAGAAATACAAGAATTACAAAGAGGAAGTTGGCATGTGGCCAAAACCACTGTAAGAACAAGAAGTACAACAAAATGAACTCAGCATTATGGGGTTGCATCATTGCCTCAACTCAACAGTAAGAACAGGGCAATAAATAACTGGTATTAAGAGCAGAAATCTTAATTCATCCAACAATAATGGCAGAGAAGAGACATCCTGCATCCAGAATTATAAGGATGATATGGAACATTTGCTCAATCAAAGGAACAATGTATGTATGTCCTATTGCCTGTATTATGAGGCAGATGAAGTCTCCAAAACTCAACGAGAATGGGGGGGGGGGGCGTCTATTGCACACAACTGTAGGAAGGGAGTCGGTGTCATCCCAAACTCGGTATTATGAGGAGGATCTCGTGTAGGCTGGTCATGCTCCAACTGACAACTGCCCACCTGGGAATAAGCATCTAGGGGAAATAGAAAGTGATAAACCAGTTTTGCCCTCTTCTCACTGAGTGAATATATGGAGAGCTAAAAGTCTACAACACACTCAGGAGGAAGTCTACATGGTCCACCACTCCAGCAACTAGGTACTGGTAAGGACTCCTTTTACTCCAATCACAGAAAAAAAAAGGGGGAGGTAAGTGTGGTGAGGAGTCTGGAGGAATGCCACACTAGAGAAAGTGCAATGGATGTCCCCAATTCCCTACTTTGAAAATCATACCATCCCCAATTTATTCAATCAAGGGGTCAGCAGAGAAGGGCAGAAATCTCCATTTGCTTTAATCCTGAAAGTTCATAAGTGATAGTCCATAAATGAGTAAAACTAATGGATATAGAGAAATGTGTATATATATACCACTTGACAAACCACCAGCGGTCTTGCAGGACACCCCATCTCTACAGTGAGCATTACAGTGCTACCAGTAAATAGTGCAGGTTTAAAGCAAAGCATACTTAACCAGGCAACATCCAAAGAGTTGGATCCCATTAGCAATGTTATAAAAGAGGGTTTTTAAAAAGAAAACAAATGAAATTATGTGCTAAGACTTACCCCAGTCAAAGGTGAACAAACGTGTGTAGACCACTCTGTAGGAAGGATCTTGTTGGGTCAAGATAAACGATCCATAACCAGGTTCGGAGAGCCAGGAACATGGAAGGCTAAGACTACTATGTGGTGATTGTGGGCCCAGAAAAGGCAATGCAGAGTCTGAAAGAACAGAGACCCAGATTTGGCACCCACTTGCTTGGTGATATATGTGACCACTGTGGATTTGTCGAAGTGTACCATAACCACCCTCCCCTGCAGGAGAAGAAGGAAGTGGGACCAAGCTTGACAAACTACCATAAGTTCAAGAATGTTGATATGGAGAGAAGACTCTTTAACCAACCAGAAATCTCCTGAGAGTTGAAGCAAACCCTCCCCCAACCCTCTAAAGATGCATCCTTGAATAGATGTAAATCTGGACAAGGTGGAGGAAGCAGAACTCCTGCCATGGCCAGGTCCCTGTCTAGCCACCAAGCTAGGTTGGCTCTAATTGGGGAAGAGAATTGTTGAGAATATAAATATGGATCTGAAGAGCGATGATACATCACAGCATGTTGGTCCAACAAGTGAAGAAGATAAGTCATACTAACACCCGACTGAAGTTGGTCCAAAAGTCTTTGAGCATGAACCCCAATGTTAGGTTAAAGGGTGGGGGAAACAAAATTTAGAAGGAATTTCAAGGAAGGGGGCATCACAGGCAATAAGGGAAACATGTAAAATACCACATACCTAACAAACTGTAATAAATGGTGGAAGGTGAAATCTCTAGAACATGTGTAGATTGTGACTGAATGAAATAAGGTGCCATGATTAACAAACTATAAAAAAGTGGTGGAAGGTGAGATCTCTAGAACAGGTGTAGATTGTGACTGAACAAAATAAGAAGGTGCCAGAAAAAGAGATTCCAAATTGCATTCTCCTTTATTGTATTCTTCCTTAAAAACATCGTCAGGTTGAAAAGAGGAAGATATCCCTGGCCAAACATATGAATCTAGCTCTCTGCAAATTTAAGCCTATACCTCCTCCGCAGATAAAGTCAAACAAAAAATAAATGCAAAAAAAATTTTTTTTTAAATGACAAAGAAGCTCAATCAGAAACAGTAGCCACACACACAAAAAGCATGTTTAAATGATGTAGCATCAATTGAGAAAGTAAGGATTGAGTGAGAATAGCAGACTGAGCTAGGTATGCCAATACAGATGGTGCAATACTATCGGTGGAGAGTAGTCGAATGCTATGTACACGTTCAATAGTGGTGCAAAATTGGTGGAATATATACACTGGTGCACTTAGCATGAACACCATTTTCATCAATGCTTAGATGGTAGAAAGAAGATCAAGATAGCTTTGTGTGAGAATTTGCAATGTTTTTATTTTTTATACAACTTAGATATATTACAAAAACATTGATAATACTTACTTTCAAAGCAACATAAAATATAAGCATTTTTACACATTATGATCCTTGTCCCTCAACTTAATACCTGTGCTCACAAAGCACAGATACTGACTAAAAACTGTTTTTACTTGGTGAATGCTACATTTGTTTTAGAGTAAACTTAGAAATATCTTAGTATAGGCCATCTTAAAAATTTTTAGCTAACTAAAGAAAAAAAATTAAAATAATATATAACAGCAATAGTGAGAAGTTAAGAAAACTATTTAAAAGAATGCTATTTTACTACCTGTTGACTCCATTCCAACTATTCCCACCATAAAAAGTACAGAATAAAATAAAATATAATACTCTTGAAATGTACTTATTTGTAGAAGAGACAGCACTAATAATGATTGTTGAAGAAAGAATTCAAAAACCTTATTAAAACGAGATGTTCATTGTTTTGGCCAGAACAAAAAAGACTAGCAAGGTTCACATGTTTACATCTAAGAAATTTCAATTTATGTTGCTATAAACTACTTCTAACTTAAATAATGAAAACAATTAAGATGTCATTAACAAGATTCTTTGTGCGTACAGTCGTAATTTTTAAGTTTCACTAACTTTGCACTTTTGATACAAGCTAAGTAACAGTGATTGATTTTACACACACACACACACACACACACACAC